GGTGAAACATCCAAGCCCTGTGCACTTTTATCCTTCTGTCTTGTTTCTGGTTTTTTTTTTTTCTTTTTTTTTTTCCCTTTTTCCAAAGGACAAGTTTTGAGTGCCCTGGCAGAGAACCAGCTAACAAATGCTCCGCATTCCCCCCCTCTCAGAAAGATAGTCCTGTTATGTAGGGAGGAAGTGGAGTTGTGAAGGTGAAGTTGTGTATGAGAGAGAAAAACATTCTTCCCAATATATCAGGGTAGAGAGTTCTTGATAAAACTCTCAGCAATAATATATATGCTTTCCTACGTCAGTCTTCTATCCTGACCTCTTGCTGAAGTGAGGAAAGGACTTTCCTTGTCTGGCTTGCACTCCTGTCATCAAGAAACCAATTTCTGCCACCTGGTTTGATGGCTGTTGGCCCAGGACAGATTGTCATTTTCTTCTCCCTACATGTCTCTCTTTCCTCTTTCAATTTTTCTTTGGATCATCTTCCCTTTCCTCATCATCCTTAATTAAAAACATATACATGCACAACAAAAATTCTCTCATTTCTGACACATCATATCTTCCAGACTACACATACATTCTCTGTGTTAATTCCTTAGGGGTTAATAGGTTCACTTGCAATATTTCACTCTCTCTCCTCACACTTGTCTTTCCTACTCTGCCATATGTGTCCTAAAATCTGCCTTCAATTTAGTGCTTGTTAATTTTCCAAATAAAAATGGAGCTCTGAGAGCTTTCTCTTCACAACACCGTGCACTTAAATCATCTGAACACTGGGGAACATGAAGTTCACTTTGCCCATTTTCTCTGCCTGCAGTGATGCAATGGGAAGGCAATTTTGTTCTCATGGATAGTTAGGGCATACTTCACTTAGCTCCAATATGAATCAGATTACGTGCTCAGTTACTGGATTAATTCCCTCTTCTAATTCTGCATGGGATCCAATAGATAGGATGTAGACCAATTCCAGACTTAGAAGGCTTTTGTTGTTGGATCACATTTGGAAAGGCTTGATATATGTCCTCTGGGGGATACAATGGTCCCCCCACATGTAGCAAGGTGGGAGTTGGCCTGGTTTCCCAGGTAACTAGCAAGAGGACAAGAGGTGATGGCCTTAAACTGTGCTGAGGAGGTTCAGGTTAGGAAAAAGTTCTCAGAAAGCATGGTGAGGTATTGGAACAGGCTGCCCAGGGAGGTGGTGCAGTCACTGTCCTTGGAGGTGTTCAAGAACCGTGTGGATGTGGCGCTGAGGGACATGGTCAGTGGGCATGGTGGGGATGGCTGATGGTTGGACTAGGGGAACTTAGTGGTTTTCCCAACCTTAATGACTCTGTGGTTCTTTGTCAAAATCTACTATAGTGTAGGGTTTTTATGTGCAGTAGATTAAGATTATAAAAACGTTGACTTGTAAGCCACTGATGTCAATTCTGTTTTTATTTCCCTCTGTGTTAAGAGTTATAACAAAAATATATGTAGGTTTTCATGGACTGTAACTTCTGGGGGCAAACTGAATACAACCTTATAGCACTCCTAGCTTAATGTCTAGTTTCTTCTTTGTATATTTTTACCTTTACAGTGTAAAAAGCGATCAACTGTGGTAGCTATATCTAGCACACAACACTTAAACATTCACCTGCTAGAATGTGCTTATTTTCTGGTTTGTCCATGACAAGGAATACATCCAGATATAACATAAAGTGTTTCTATGAAAGAACAGAAGACATATAATAATAAAATCAGCTGTAAGAATAAAGAATCACATAAAGCTACTTTAATGAATCACATTTGAAAAAAAAATATTTTTTGTTTTTAATGAAATCCAAGTTATCCAATCTAATCCACCCTCTTTGGGTGCACTCTGGCATATTTTATCAATATGGTCAATCAGATAAATTCTGGGATGTTTAAGTATGATATATCAACACTATTTGTTCTCTGATTGATAGAGGTAATGACCAGTTTCCTGTAAATCATACAAAAAATATGCGCCATAAGTGTGTGGATGTAAATCATGTAATATCTCCCAATTCAATTCACTTTTCTGACCTTTTTTTCTTAAAATTTTAATTTTTTAAAAAAATTATTTTAGTTTTTTTATTTAATGGAATTGCAGTACAACACTGTTCTTCGATTGCAGGGCATCACTAAATGAGATGGTCTGGCTATAGTTTTTGTTAGCTAATGGCCTTGAGAAGAACATTGCCACTGAAGGCAGTGAGAATTTACTGCATCAATGAGGACTGAGTCACCATTGCTTTCTTTCAGATAGAACAGAGGACAGAAAAACATTTTTTCCTGATGAAGTCAGACCACTAAGGTATTTCTATATAGTTAGTTACAAAGTCTCATTGGTCTACAGGTTCTATTCTGAACTACCTGCAAGCCAAATCCATGACATACATAAGCCCAAACTTGAGCACAGGCATTAAGCTTGACTGAGGAATAAAATACAGAATTTCGTGCTCAACTTTGTGCTGATTTGGTTAGAGAGCTTTTAGGATGCTAGTGGTTCTAAGCCAGCTGGTTCAGAGCATGGCTGGAGTTACCGACCCATTATCTTCATTTCATGAAGTAGAGATGCTCTTCTTCAACGAGAAAACCTAAAGGGAGTCTGCATTGCTGAGGTGTGAGGGTTGTTTTTTAAAAATCTTTCTGGTACTGAAAACTGAAAAGAGATCTTTGTATATATTCAAGCAGCAAGAATAAGGAAAGTTGTGAGTCTCTTGTTTTAACGTCAATTTAAACAAGCTGAAATCTTGGCCTGTAAATGATTAATTCAAATTACAAAAGTAAACAGGGGAGGAAGTTGGTGAAAACTGATGTTATTTATGGAAGGGCATCCTTAAAACCGTGTTGCAGTGGGAAGTTGGAGACACAAGCATCTGCTATGTGGATAAATTTAGTTATAAAACCTGGTTCCCTTATAGACAGTGGAGCATACCTATTGAATCTGGGACTTAGCTCACTTGCTTTCCATGGAGAATTTTTGTCTTGTTTGAGCAGAACTGGAATTTTGACAGAGATGTTTGATTGGAATAAATGGAGCATTCCTATCAAATGCAGGTAACTAATGAATCCATGGGTAAGCTCCATTAATTTCAATACAGTGCTAAATGTGCTAAATGTTATGAGAAAGAGGTTGTTGCATACGTGCACTTAGCAATTTTCTTAATGATAAGTTCTAGCTGATTTTAAGTTCTATCATTTTATATTCCATAAGGACTGTGAATGAGCAATATTTCTGAATATAGGAAGGTAAATGAACATTTATTCTGTGACATAAAAAACAGGAAAATTATCTGAAATAACTTTTTTGGTAGGATTTCCCATTTAAAAAGAGTTTCAGCTACTGCCTTCATTTCCAGATAAACTGTTTCAGCCCAGAGAAAATCTGTACCAATTCTCAACACAGAACAAATTTTGCTCATATAATAATCCCGTTTTCTGTCCCCCCAGATAAGATTTATGGTATACACAAAACCTGGTAGCAATAAACAGCTCAAACAACAATGGCACGAACAGGATGGTATAATTCACAGTCTTATTTTGCAATGCATGATTTCCCATATATTTATAGACAAAGCTGATATTGCAAGAAGAAGCACTAATATAAAATTCACTTATTTACTAAATTCATCAGTGGTAGAGTCTTTCAGTTCATGCAGTTTTAGGAAGTGTAACTTTCAACATAGACAAGCAGCCAAGAAGGTATGTCTGTGAGATAAAACAGGCCATTCGCCCTCATCTTAGCATCCTTTTGAGAAATACCATTGAATGAATTGCACAGCATTTCATATTTAATTCCATTTATATACATTTAAAGAAAGTATTTTGTCCGTTCCATCTTTCTGCATACTTTCCTACATCCCATCTCTGCCTTTCTGAACTTCCTGTGTAGACTTTGATCAATGTAGCCTCTTGATAGAAAATTGAATCCTGCTGCAGGTTTTACAGTAAAGGTACATAAGTGCAAATCAGGTAACTTTTCTTGACCTGCCACTCAGTCTTCTCGGATGCCTTCTTGAGCTGTGGAGGGGCAAACCATGCACAGTATTCCAGCTGCTACCTTACTAGCACTGAGTAGAGATTTATATTAACTTTTCTTGATCTGTTGGCCATATGTTTAATGTAGTCAATTTTATTTTATCTGTGATCAGAGTATGCTATTGGCTCGTTTTCAACTTGGCACCTTCCCCTCCAAGTTCTTTTCAGCAAGGCAAAAATGTCTACAAAGATATATATATCTCTGTTGAGAAAGCAGGAAAAACACAGTTTTTAAAAACAGAAAAACATTCTTCTTCTTCTCTTGTTTAAAAAAAAAAAAAAAAGGAATAATAATAATACATATCTAAAATGTTGAGTATGTGGTTAGAAAGAGTGATTATAGTGAAAGAAGGAAAAAAACAGAATCTGTTGCAAGGTATCTCCAGGTGAAGCAGAATCTCTAAATTTGAGTAAATCCTAAATTCTATAACTGGCAATAATTTATTTGCCCTAAAATACAAAATTAGAAGCTTTTTGAGAATATTTTCACAAAAAATTGAAATACAAAGTTAGAACTGCTAAGAGAGTGTTATCATCACTCATACACAGGCTTCTATATCTGTCTACATATTGTCACAATACTAATAGAGCACGCAAGATAAACATTTTTTTTTATTAGTTATAAGCAAAAGGTTGTGTTTTTGATTTTTTTTTTTTTAAATAATCCTCCATGGGATGCCATTTATGCATGAATCTTTTTGCTGAAAAGAAATTGTAAAAAAACCTATAAACAGAAAATGAGGTTCTAGTGATATAAGTGAAATTTTGCCATTAGCCATTAGATGATAAGTAGGCAGATTGGACAGATATTTCTTGAAATCCTACATAGTATGCAGAACATGCTTTCATTGTGCTTCCTGGCAGAATATGAAAATATGCCTTATTTGGAAACGTAATGATCAGTTCTGTTAAATCATGTTCAATCAGCTTATATAATAACACCTATATTTTGTTATTCATTTCAGATTTCAGAGACCTATGCCTTCCTACCGAGAGAAGCGGTGACACGATTTCTAATGAGTTGCTCAGAGTGCCAGAAAAGAATGCATTTAAACCCAGATGGAGCAGATCATAAAGGTAGTTTTAGTGTCAAACAGTGAGATGTAAAGTAATTTTATTTCTAATACCATTTATATTTTCCTTGCTTAAGTGAAGGTTCATAAAAATTTAGACTGGAACAGTTCAATAAGTCAGATAATCTCATTTACTTAAGCTGGAAGGTAGTGAATCTTCTGCTTTTGCTTAAGGATGGAGTGTAATACCATATGCACCCCTGACAGAAAAAATGATTTTATCTGGAGGAAATCGTTTATTTTGCAATGGAAATGTTTATATGAAGGCTTAAACATAAGGAATAGATAGGATGCATGTGTTGTAGTCATTTGGGATAGAAGAACTCATCACTTTTCAGGTTTCGAATTTGATTTTCATTTTTCTTTAGGAGATTTCCATCTGCACAGCCTACAAGCAATTGAAAATGCCAAAGTTAGAACTGAATGACATAACTGTCTGCCTTTGACTGCAAAGTAGGCTGAAGTAGCCTCCACAACTAACATATAATGCATAATAAATATTTTTATTACAGATAATGGGAAACCACCAACACTGGTGACCAGTATGATTGATTACAATATGCCAATTACTATGGCCTATATGAAACACATGAAGCTACAGCTACTAAATTCACAGCAAGATGAGGTACAAACTGAAATCTTTTAAGTTTGTTTTTCTTTTCTCATGTATTCTTTGATGCTTGTCTTTGTGGTAGCCAAGAAACAGAACTGAAAGTTGATGTCGATGTCATCTTTATAATTTGCTACAGTAGTGATGGATATCAAACCAAGACTGTGTGCAAGTAATCAGTAATCAGAGAGAAAATGTCACGACTTAATGCCCTTCCATGGTAATATGCTGTACTGCTTCAAAGAACCTGAGGGTGCCCTTTCAATGACCAGAAAGGATGAGGGAGGCTGCTGAGTATAGCCTTAGCGTTATGTTCAGGAGTGACTTTCATTGTTTACTTCTTGAAAGCAATACAAAATTACAGTTGAAATGAATGCCATGATGCTCTCCAGGTTAGTAGCCAGATACAATATATTTTGGTGGGAAGCCCTAGCCACATCAGGTCCAATCTTTAAGGCAAAAAGCTTGCTTTATTGATAAATAAGAGTAGAGTTTTCTCATGAAACTTCAAATAAAATAGAAGGGAAAAAGAAAAAAGTAGGCTATTAAGTTTCTTCAGGGAGAACTTAAGTCAAATTGCAGTTATTTTATTTCAAAATAATTTCTGTGATTTATTCCGATTTTTCTCGAATCTTAAGAAGTACTTCATCAATTGGAGGTCAGCTATCACGTTATTTGTAATAAACTCATTTTGCTACAAATGTGTTCATTTACCATTTGAGCTGCCAAATATTTAGAAGCCCCGCCACGTGCCAGCCAAAAAGCAACCCTACATGCTGTGTCCTTCTGCCTGACTACAAGATTGTTTTTAGTAAAGAAAATAACCAAAAACAACCTTAGCAGCTGGATTATGTCAGAGACTCCGACTGACTCTTGACTTCTGTGGAGTCAGCTAGGTTTTGTTTCATAATAGGTAGATAATGGCTACTGGTGGAGATGTATGAATTATTCAGTGTCCCATAGACTGGGAATCTTTGTTTCACTTTTGCCTGTTTTATTTATTTATTTTTATTTTTAAATTTTATTGTGAAGGGTAGAGATCACTTACTGAGTTCTTCACTCACAAATATAGCCTAGTCTTCTTTCCCTACTATGGAGTCTCCCTTCTGTGTGCTGCCCCTTTACAGGAATCTGACAGCAGGATTCCAAGCAGCAGGAGGTAAGAGGCTTTATCCCTGTAGTAGCCTTAGGGGTTGAAGGACTCTTTGGTTTCCCCACTTCCCCTCTTTGACAGTTACTCATCCCACAGTAGGGTCAGGCACTCATGATGGATCAGGGCGATCTGCCACAGTGCCTCTATAGCCCAAATGTTTTGGTATAGTCCTTCTGGCCTGATGACTGATATTTAAACTGTTTTTTCATCTAGATGAACCAGTGACAAAGATACAGGGGCAGCAGGAAGCAGCATTGCTTGGTATCTCCCTGCTTGGCTCAGTTTTGTAGCTCTGATCTCACTGTGTATGAAATATTTGCAGTACTGTTTTAATGAAGAGAAAAGTAGTTTTTAATACATTTTAGTCATGTTATATTTTCCTGGAAACAAAGGAAGTCCTCAAGATAATAATTTATGTCCTTTCTCAAAGCAGTTTTGCTAAGAATTTATTTTTTGCTCTGGACTATGCATTTGTTACACTGAGAAAGAAGTGGTAGTGAAAATATTATGTTGCAAAGCAGAAAGAATTCATGCACTTGAAATTGTGCTTGGGTTTGTAGGAAGGCTCTGTTTCCAAGGTTTCATCAGTCACATCTCTGTTCTTACGGTGGGGGCGGAATTGAGACTGGAGTGAACTTAGATGCCACAACGAGCCAGCACAGCAATTGAAAGTCTCCCAATTCTCTCATTCTCAATTCATCATTTTTCATCTGAGGCCATCAACAAAAGGGAAACAGGCTTAATCTAAAAGGAGAATTCATCTACGTGTGGGAATTTACAGAGGTGCTGCAACTGGTACAAAGAGGCCAGTGGCCACCAGTTCTGCTCCCCACACCTGCCTGTACAAAAAGTTCTGCACAGTTCATAGAGTGAGGTGGAGATATTCTACACACTGCCATAGGCAAACAGGCTGCCTATGTGTGGTGTTGTTTTATACCTATTCAAGTATCAGTTGCCTGATTGGCAGCCCACATATATAGCCCAACCTCAGAATTAGAAAATGAAAGCCACTGCTTGCTGACTCCTGCAGGGACAAATGAGAAATACCACTGTGCTTCAACAGAGTCACAGTGTTCCAGAAGGTCTGGAGAAATTTGTGTCCTGATCTCGCTCTTTGAGAAAGCAGCACACATTTCTGCTAAATCCCAGCACCAGATCACAGTGTATCTTGACCCCGCCTGTCTGGAGCACGAGCTTGGTGGCCACCAGCTTTGCACAGCTCTCATGTTCCTGATATTTACTGTGCTGTAGCTGAGGTGTTTCCTTCCCCATCCAGGCAAGGTAAAAAAGTGCCCACAAGAGAATCCCTCTCTTTTCCATTCTTTTTTTTTTTTTAATTAGAACTTTAGAAACAAGCTATGTTTGTTTCAATACTTGACATTGTCCTGGAGTGATAGTGCAGAGCAGTATCACCTTGCATATTGTCCCTCTCTTACTCTTGGATGGCATTTGGCAGTGCCATCCTCTTTCAACAAGAGATGCAACTGCAGGAAATTTTGCTTCCAAAAATGAGAGAAATGCCCACACAAGCTGGAAATGACACTAAGATGCACAAGATGAACTGACTTAAGGTCCAAGTGCTTAGACAGAAGAAAGCAACTATATTAGCATCTGTAGAAACCAGTTCACAGTAAATGCACAATAAAAAAAGTTGTTGTAAATGTTGCCATTTTTTTAGGTCACTTCTGATAAGCAGCCCAAATAAAAATAGTCTGAGTTCTGCCAGATAGTTTTGTTTTAATTAAACAACAACAACCAAGCAAATAATAATAATAATAAAAACATATAAATTGGAAAAGTATTTTAATCCTCAGTGGACACTATTTTTTCTATATGTTCTTTAAATGGCTTTTATTCACAATAGGAGCCATTATTTCAGAAAAGTTGTTATTGAAAATACATTGCCATAGGTTTCTGAATTGCCACTGCAGCTTTCAGAACAAGACTCATGAGAGCTAAATTTTTAATCTGTGAGTGGATGCAGTGGGACTGAAATGAGTGAAGTTAAAAGTACTATATACACGTTAACCCTGCATATAAACATATTCTGTACTAGGTCTCAAACAGTTTTGTAACGGGACTTTCTGATTGGGACTTTTTGCACGCTTGTATCATTCCTAGTAGAGATTTTGTAATTGGACTTGATAGATAAATCATATAAAAGATATGTGAGGTAGAATAAATTTCAAGTGATTCCCATGTGATTGTATTACTTCAGTTCTCCACTGACTTTTGAGTCATTTGAGCATGATAAACAGTCTTCAAAATTTTCACGGATGCTTCCTTAAACATAATAGTGGTGTAGGGGCGAAGTTGTATTGAGGGAACTTGGTTGTGGATTCTTCTTAGATCATTTGGAAATGTTTTACTGTAAGTGAAAATCACAGGGTTACCTGCCTTGCCTGGTAAAAATAGGGAATTCAGGTACAGACTATGGAGAACACTCCTCAACCATGTTTTGAGTAACAAGGACTTTGCGTGGGGTCTCCAGTTACAACCCTATTTTACAAAATGCTATGGAAACAGTTACGAGTGTGGTAATGGAGTGTCGTCATAGTTGATCAAATTGCATTTGTCAGACTAACATATCACATAAGTGCTGCATGTTCTTTGCTCTTCTTTATGTGCTCTGCTTGTTTGCTTATGTACACAAGCATTAGCATGAATATATTCCATGCCAGGGACAAAGGAAATGGAGTGAGCCTCACATGCAATTTGAACAGCATCCAGCATTTTCTGACATGTCTCTGAAACTTTCAAATTATAGGATGAAAGCTCTATAGAAAGTGATGAGTTTGATATGAGTGACTCTACGAGGATGTCAGCTGTGAACTCTGACCTCAGCTCAAATCTTGAAGAAAGAATGCAAAGTCCTCAGAATCTCCAGGGCCAGCAGGATGGTAAGGCTCTCCTTTCATACAGAAAATGTGCTATTGTCTTGTCTCCTTCCCGTTCTGTGCTTTCATTTAGTACCTGCTGTGTCCTTCACTTTATAGTGTGTTTCATTAGGTAATTTGAACTATATGTTCCCTTTGTCTCAGCATGAAGAGAATTAAGTTGGTTGGTTTTTTTTCCTTTCTTTCTTTTTTTTTTCTTTTTTTTTTTTTTTTTCCCAAGTTAATTTATTTGTTGCTTAGGCAACAGGTGAGTGGTTAGACCACTGTTTAGTATTATTTTACTATTTTTATTTACCAAGTGTGATTCTATACAGACATAAAAGGAAATGAAACTGAAACCTTTCCAGGGCAATCCAGAGGCTGAGAAAGTTGTTTTTGCTGGTTGAAATGGGGAAGAAAGAAGAAGGATATAAGAGAAGTTTGAAAGCTAGGAGCTGGGTGTGTTATTCAGAGAAAAGAGTATAAAAGACAAGTTCCAACAGGGAAACAGATGTGCAGAAAATAAAACCAACAGCATTATAAATCTGAATGTTAATATTTCTAGTTTAGTTGTAACATAAAGCTAATTAGTTGGTGAAAGAGAGAAGTTTTATTTTGTGCAAAAGGTGAACAGAGGTGTGTTTTTTTACTCTTTGTTGCCTGGTTTGGACTCAGATTTCTCTTTGGTTTGGAGTTCACACAGAGCTTGTCCTGTAAAGACTGTTACAGTGATTCATCAGTGGCACGGGAGGGAGTAATACCCAAAGTGCAGATCTGTTCTATTGCTATTAAATATAACATGATATTCTGTACTTGTTATGCCATAGTTTCCTAAATATGTGTGTCAACTTAGAAATGCTTACATTTCTCGGACAAGAAGTATGTGGAATTTGACAGTTAAGTTGGATTTTTTCCACTTAAAGCATCATCATCAGTTGTTAGCTTGTAAGTTCTGTGGGTAAGAACGCGTGTGTTGCATTGAGGCTGACAGGATCTGGTCAAGGGCAGGAACTTCTGCTATGTCACTTTCTAGACAAAAAAAAATATTGAGAAGTTTATGATAATTTCCTGTGCCAGATTTTAACCACAGCCACTTTTTCTCTTGGTGTCTTTAAATTATCACAAAATGTGTGCAAGTATGTTGACTAAAGGAGCAGCACTCCAGGACTAGGGGAAGATAATTCACTTTGCTGTTGGAGTCTGACATACTACTGCTAAGTTAGAGTTTTCAAAGATACTTTGGAAACTGTTGAGTTTATGTGTCTGGCTTTGGGTGAAAAACTGTTTTAGAGGTTACTGTTTACATAAATAATATGTTTTCATATGAAATATTTCTTAATAGGTAATTAAGTGCATGTACACGTATGTACATGAGGTAGAAATTACAGTGCAACAACCTATGGAGAAATGCCTGTCACACAGGTGTTAATGCATTCTTCAACAAGAGTCATGCAGTACATCTGATCATAGCAGAACATATGTACGAATGATAAAATGCTGAAAATCTGTCACTTTCCATTTAATACCTGTGGCAAACAAATGCACTGTGATTTGATCTACAGGTAGTGTGATCGTACAGAATTGCATCAAATCTCTCTGCTTTTTTCCTCTTTTCCCAAATGGCGCTTTCTCACCTTCCTAAAGCAATCCTATTTATTTTGCTGTTTCTTCTGACTAAAACATTTTCTGATAAAGAAATTTGGAATAACACCTCTTCCTGCCATGGTTTTCCGGTCTTTGATGCCACCAAGTTGCAAACCTGAGTGACGGTGGTTGTAGCAGAACTGTGTTTCAAGATAGGCAAGAAGAAGCTGAAGGAGAAACTGAAAGAAATTGTGGGAAGGAGAGGAAAAAGGAAAAATAGCAGAGGGCAGGAAGAGAAGAAGATTAGAAGAAATCAGTGAACACTGGAACATAGGGAAGGAAACGGTACTGGAAGGAGGGAAGACAAAGGGGAAAAGTCAATGTAGTAGCAGTGTTCTTTTTGCTGTCACAGTTTTTACTGAAAATTTCCCAAATGTACACAATTACGGTGCATGCTCACAGAAGTTAGGACTTAAGTGCATATGCGTGTGTATAAAGTGATTCCTCTCCCTTTCCCTCAAGCTATTTTATATGTCTGTGAGAGTTTACGTCAGCCACCAGATTAAGTCTGCCTGTAAAGACACCTGGTGTCTGGTTTATCTGAAACACGTTTGCTGCATTCTGGCAGGTGGAAGTTTACCGCTGTGTGTGACTTTCTGTGCATACAAGGCTAGGAATGGTCCCTGTGGTGGAACAGGAGAGCACACATCTTTTGCTGCCACAAGTGTGCTCTCACTGGGGTAACGGTCTGCTAATGGGAATCACTGCTGCCTTGGGTTGGATTAAGGACAGATCATCAGTGGCCAGAGGTTGCACATGCTGTCACTGTGTGTTTACATGGCCTTTCATCTAACATGGCCTAAGAATATTTTGGGATATCTATCATTCTCTTCCTGTGGATTTCAACTGATTAATGGTATGATATACACGGAGTTGGTGTACTCTAGGGGAATGCATAGTGGGCCTGACCATGCCACTGGGGTTTAAAAGAAGATACCCTCTCCAGGTCAGTTATCAGAGCACAGCAGCATGCTGACACTATAAACACGAAAGAAAACAAGGTGTTTACATACCTTCTTATCTGGGGCTATATCTGCACCATATTCAATCAGGTATTTGGAAATCCACTGCAGAGCTCATACTAGAAAATTTGACCTCCGATTTCTCAACAATGTCTAGTCTAGTACACTGTGTTCTTTTTCTCATGGTTAGGTCATTTTAACCTAAGTAGAATAAAGGCAATTACAAGAGCCACCCACATTATGGGCTGAAAGTGATAGACTTCTGCATCCAGAAATATCATGGTCAGCAGGAAGACTGCTGAGAGAAGATACAGAAGGGGAAAGTGTGTATTTGCTTGTAACAGATTGGGTGTTGCACTAAAAATGGGTGTAGGTACTGCATAAAAATCCTGAGCTCTGCAAACGTGCCAAAGCTTTGTGAGATTCACTGTATAAAGAATAGTAGATTAAAAGTGAATGAAAAAAATTAAAAATAGGGAGAGCTAATATATTTTGCACATAATAGTGAATACACAACAATACTGTGAAAGAGAATTCCCACTTCAAGTTGGCCTTTGAATGCTTTTAAACAACAGAACCCTGAGTCACACCTGCTAGTGGATGGCTGAAAATAGCATCCTGAGCACCTGCAGGGCTGCTGCAACTGTGGGGGAGGAGTTGGAAAAGAGCTGCTGCTCTTCCCTGGGGAGTTGGAGAAGGAAAGCAGCTCTAATTTGCAATTGGTTCGTTCCCCAGCTGCGAGTAGGGTAGGGCTATCTGGTTACCAGTCCCCGGGATCTGCTTTCCCTAGCAGCCAGCTGGTTTATATGGCTGAAAATTGCTGAAGTGTGCCTTTCTCTTTTGCACTTGCTCCCTTAGTTGCTCCTATTTTCTTATTCACCTATTCTGGTTGTCTTCTCTTCACTTTGTTTCCCTATAACATGCTATGTCTTTTTTGTCCTAAGTTTGTTCTTAGGGTGAGTGCTGCATTCTGGCTATCTGCAGGCAAAGCTTCATCTTGAGGGATGGCTTTAATTCTGCTTTTTCCTAATAATGCTCTAGAAATGCTCTTGGATGTGGCTGGATCAAAACGTTTTTGCTCCTGTTCAAGAGTGTGGGCAGCAGACAGGATTTGGCAACTGAATCTGAAATAAAGGAGCTTGTTTTGGTTTTGTTTTTTATTTTTTTTATTTTATTAGGAGCTCTGCGCTTGAACCTTAAAAAAAATTATTTATTTATTTATTTATTTTGGTAGAGAACATGTACAACTAGAAGTAATAAGGAGCAAATGTTATGCTTTATGCTATGAGCCACTGAATATAGCACTGAATATAGTATGAGTCTATTTGACTATAACTTAGTGCAAGATGGAGAATCCTTCTATTTACAGTATCTTTAATTCTACTGAAGTGCAGCAAAGCATTTTAATGCTTTCGTTTGGATTTGAGTGGAGGGTTTCTCTTTAATACAGTTAGTTGAAAACGATGCAGTTGGATAAATACTTCTAAACATATAGAGCTCCCCCTCACAGGCACTGTATAGAGACTGTGCTTGTAGGAGATTGCTATAGCAAAATGTTATGATTCAGTATTTGACAGGAATTTTACTGTGATCTTAGATGAGGAAATTAGGAATAAGCTTTTCCCAGTTGTCAATGTGGTGTAATAGTACTGTAATGTGATGGACAACTGCATTCAGGTAGTTTGTGGTCATTTGGATCATGCTGATGCTCTTTCCCCAGCATGTTCACATTGCCAGGCTTTCCACAGTACGTGTTTAAGAGATGTGGTTGTTGGCATTAACCATTTCCTCCACACAAATGGTGTTTGTGACAGATGGAGGTATTTATCATTTAAATACCGTTTTGTACATCGAAGTTGTAATCTTTAATTAACAGCTTCACCTGAATTAATATTAACTGATTCAGTTGTTAAAACTCCGTCTGTGCAGGGTGGAGTTTGCTGGACCCCACACCTGCCATTGTTTTGTTCTCTCTGAAATGAGCCCTAACCAAATTCTGAATTGGCTGTACTATAGTACTTTTTTCTGCTCTTATTTTTATTCCACTAAAATCTGGACTCACTGCCTTACAATACTGAGTTTTCTTTTTCCACAATATGACTTAAGTGAAATGCATAGGATCAAGCATTAAGTGAAATGTATGAGTTCAGGCCAAAGTGAAAGCAGATTGGCAAAAGAACGTACTGGGGTAAATCGTCCCTGGTGTTGCCTGTGCTTTTGCCATGCTCTTGATGTTGAGTAAAGCAAGTAGCAAAAATAAAAACAACATGCAAGCAGAAGATTCTCAACACTAAACCCATTACAATATTTTTGCTGCTGACTAAGACATCTCTATGGAAATGCAAATGCTATTTTACATTAAGGGATATTGTCACTAATTTCTGTTGGAGCACTGAAATTCTTTACAAATATATGCTT